CAGACAAGACTACTAATGGCTTAGACCCCTCAGGAAAGAAGGTTTGTGTAACTCCACCAGTTAAAGGACCGTGACCACCAGCTGAGGTGAAGGAAGAGTTATAAATACCAGCTATGACCACATGCCCAGTTACAGAAACAAGAACTGTAATTGTCATGAATTCTTCTTCCGTATTTTGTGTGTGTATTTGTGTGTGTATTTTGATATGTATATATGAAGGAAATATCTTTGTTTTCTTCCCTTTCTTATCCCTTTATCATGTAACATAAGATGTAATGACTTTATATCATAGTATTTGAGTGTTGTTAATTTTACATTATAGTATTCAATTATGTGATATCAAGCAGAAGAACAAACATCACCCAATGACTCAGCATTCTCTTTTAGGGAAAGACTTAGTGCATTTTTGGTTGCACACAGGATAGTTATTGCCTTTATTTAGAAGTTAAGTATAGTTTAAGAATATATATATGAGTATCTAGTTGACCATGGGTGGACTTGTGATGGTTAATTTTATGTGTCAACCTAGCTGGGCCACTGTGCCTAGATATTTGGTCAAACATTTGTATTTTGTAGTCGTTGTTTGTTTGTATAGTGAACTAAACACTCCAGTTTTTTTCTGAACTAATTTTTTTCCACTTTTTGATTGTTGTAAAATATGCTCTATAGAAAGTCTACCATCTTAATTATTTTTTTTAAGATTTTATTTATTTATTTGACACAGAGAGACACAGCAAGAGAGGGAACATAAGCAGGGGGAGTGGGAGAGGGAGAAGCAGGCTTCCCGCTGAGCAGGGAGCCCGACGCGGGGCTTGATCCCAGGACCCTGGGACCATGACCTGAGCCGAAGGCAGACACTTAACTGACTGAGCCATCCAGGCACCCCATCTTGATTATTTTTAAGAGTACTGTTCAGTGGTATTAAAATATATTTTGTATTAAGTACATAATGTTGTAAACCATCACCACCATTCAACGCTATAGCTCTTTTTGTCTTGTAAATCTGAAACTCTATACCCATTAAACAATAACTCACAATTTCCACTGTCCCCAGCCCCTAGAAACCTGCAATCTACCATCTCTTCAATTTTGACTAATTTAAGTACCTTATATAACTGAAATCATACAGTAATTGTCTTTTTTGTGATGGGTTTATTTCACTTAGCATAGTGTTCTCAAGTTTATTCTGTGCTGTAGCATGTTAGAATTTCCTTCCTTTTTAAGGCTGGATAATATTCCTCTGTATATATAGACCACATTTTGCTTATCCATTCATCCATCAATGGACACTTGAGTTGCTACAACATTTTAGCTGCTGTGAATAATATTGCTACAAACATGGGTGTACAAATATCTCTCCAAGACCCAGAAGTAGAGTTGCTGGATCATATGGTAGTTCTATTTTTAATTTTTTGAAGAACCACCATACTGTTTTCAACAATGGTGATACCATCTTACATTCCCACCAACAGTGCACGAGTAGTCCAACTTCTCTACATTCTCACTAAAGCTTCTTATTTCCTGGATTTTTTTCCAATATATATTTGCCCATTCCAATGGGTGTGAAGTGATATCTTATTGTAGTATTAGTTTCCATCTCCCTAATGATCAATGATGTTGAGCAGATTATATGTGCTTAGTGGCCATTCGAATACATTCTTTTTTTTTAAAAGATTTTATTTATTTATTTGAGACAGAGAGAATGAGAGAGAGTGCACATGAGAGGGGGGAGAGTCAGAGGAAGAAGCAGACTCCCTGCTGAGCAGGGAGCCCGATGTGGGACTCGATCCAGGGACTCCAGGATCATGACCTGAGCTGAAGGCAGTCGCCCAACCAACTGAGCCACCCAGGCGCCCCAATGCCTTCTTTGGATAAATGTCTATTCAAGTCCTTTGAAGCAGAAACTTCTAATTTTCCCCATATATGCAGTTGCTTTTGAATGTCCTAGTCTTTGATATCTGGCTCCCAAAAGGGGAGAAAGGGAAAAAAAAGAGAGAGAGAGACTGACAGGAAAAAAAGGGTGCTGGCCCTTTTAATCCTCTGGAAGTTAGCAGTGGCCTCCAACAATGATGGGAGGGGCAACAACAATGTTCACCTGCCTCTCTGTCTGCACCTCTATGACCAGAAGCTGCAATCATCAATCAGAGCATAGACGCTCAATATTGGAAAACAGCATCCTTCTGCCTGTCCTGGCTGCCAAAAGCTAGGTACAAGCTGCTCCAGGAGCATGTACACAGCTGTTTGCTGTGGGGTTCGGAGCGGAAATTGATAAAAGCTAACCGTAATTTACCATGCAAGACTTTTTCTGGAAGCTGCAGACATTCAGTAGACTCAGAGTTCCCAAACAGGTACCCCAGACAGGTTCTGCCAGTTGTTGTCTGCAATTCTGCAATTACTGTCCAGGTGGAGAGACAGATTCCTGGTGCTTCCTACTCTACCATCTTTCCAGAATTCTCTTTCTGAACTAATTTTGTAAAGTCTTTATTCTTTGTTTGTGTCCCCTGAAGTCCCTATTCCATTAGAATAATGTGTCATTAATGGGTTGACAGATTTCCTTAAATGCTTGAACCTACCGACCGACCAACCAACCAAACAACCAAACAAAGAATTGTCTCTGATTTTGCAGAGTGTGCTATGTTGGGGCACTTCAACATTTAGCATGGCAGTTTATGACTCTGCCTTAGCCTTCATTTCCTTCTTGTTCTGAGCCTGAAGGTCAAAGAGAGGTGAGAGAGGTCTCTTCTGAGCATGCATTCTTGCTCTAGGCATGTGTGTGACCTTCTAGATTTCCTATAATATACCAGAACTTTCACAGTCTATATTCCTCCAAGTATCTCCTTCCTCAGCTTCTTTCTTCCAAGTCTTTTTAATCTATTTCTTGCCCTATTATCTCTTGCCCCAGCTGCAGGAGCTAATACATTTGCCTTTAAATGCTTTGAACAAATATGGTCCATGAAGGCTTCCCAGCCCTGGAAAAGCCCCTATGTAGTCAAAACAAAGGCAAACTCTTAAACTGATCCCTTAGGGAGCTGCCAGACAGGTCAAAACACACAACTACAATTTTTTGAGAATTATGTCTGTGCTGCTTCTGCTGCTGCCAAGCACCTTGCACCAGGAATGTGAATAACAACAACAACAACAAAGTAGAGTTAAGAATAAAAAAAAACATTGTTTTGGAGGGACAGTGTTATTTTATTTTCATTTTTTTAAAAGATTTTTAAAAACTTATTTATTTGAGAAAGAGAGAGAAAGAGAGCATGAGAAGGAGGGAGGGGCAGAGAGAGGGAGAAGTAGACTCCCCACTGAGCAGTGAGCCAGATGATGTGGGGCTCAAATCCAGGACCCTGGGATCATGACCTGAGCCAAGGCAGACACTTAACTGACTGAGCCACCCAGGAGCCCCAACACTGTCATTTTAAAATCAGTCACATGTGTACATATGACTTTTTTTAATTATAACATTAATATGACTGTGTACATGCTCTTGAGATGGGTGAGACCCTTCAAAGTAAACACTAAAAGCAGAAACCATAAAGGAGGAAGCCTAGGTGGCTCAGTCAGTTGAGTGTCTGTCTTTGGCTCAGGTCAAGATCTTGGGGTCCTGGGATCAGGCCCTGAATTGAGCTCCCTGCTTACCGGGGAGTCTGTTCCTCCCTCCCCCTCTCCCCCTCCCCCGCTTGTGTGTTCTCTTGCGCTCTCTCAAATAAATAAATGAATAAATAAATAATCTTAAAAAAAAAAGAAACCATAAAGGATAAGACTAACAGTTTTGAATACATAAAATTTTAAAGTCATTGTATGTCAAGAATATTACATTCACAAAAAGTCTTTAAAAAAGTATGGTCAAGTTCATGATATACTGAACTTTTTTCATGGATATTGTAGGAAATTGTAAAGTATAACCAAGTATCAGGTGGGTGGTTGAAATAGAAGTTCTCTAATGGTGTTGAGTAAATGCCAAAGTGCATTTGTAACTGAGAACCATGTCTTAACCCAGCAGAGAGTTTTTGGTATTGGAGATTTCAGGCATACAGGCAGGCTAATGAATTGAATATGGTTGGAAGAGCATCATGAGAACAGTAAAACACAACTTACATGGCTCATTTTTAAAAGATGGTTTCTTCCTCACCCTCAACTAGATAAGAAGCTCTACAAAGGCAACAACTAGTCTATATTGTTTCTGCTTATCTACTATATAATTCCTTTCTGACCTCAAGAGCTTTTTTCAGGTACAGACTAACCTTGTTTTCTATTGCTACTGTAACAAAGTACCACAAATTCAGTGGCTTAAGCTATACACATTTATTATCATACAATTCTGAAGGTCAGAAGTCCCACATGGGTCAGCAGGGGCTGCATTCCTTCTGGAGGCTCTAGGGGAGAATTGGTTTCCTTGCTTTTTCCAGCTTCCAGAGGCTGCCCACATTTCTTGCTTGGTGGCTTTGCATGACTCCAATCTCTGCTTTCAGGCTACATATCCTTCCCTGACTCTGACCCTCCTGCCTCCCTCCCTGTTATAGGGATCCTTGTAATTACATTGGAACCACTGGGATATTCTCCCCATCTGAAGATCCTTAATTTACTCATATCTGTAAAATTCCTTTACCATGTAAAGTACAAATCATAGGTTCCACATATTAGGTTGTGCACATCTTTGGGGAGGGGCCATTATTCTGCTTACCCCATCCTAGTTCCAGAAAACTAAGTTCTTCTAGAAGTGATAGAAAAGACTGAAGGGTAAAAGAAATTGTAAAGCCCAAAGCTAGCAGAGGTCGCATCTGAAATGCAGTCCTTATAGTCACAGCTAAGTCATTCTGGGCCAAATTCAGGGGTCCAGGTAGTGGGGGAAAAAAAAAAAAGAGAGAGACATGCCTGAAGTATTTTTCTGTTTTCTGGGAGGAGCGGGGTGAAGTTTAAAAAAGTAAAAAAGCATTTCCGTATATTTCCATTTTGTGGAAATGTATTGATTTGGAGGTGACTTATAAATTCTTGAAATGTTGTCCTGAAGCATTGGAATAGGATTTATTCCATGTAGTTGTAGAGGGCAGACCCAGAGCATCAGAGGAAGATATCCGTTCAATTCAAGGAGGGCCTTTGCTGACAGCTATCTTTCTTCAAACAGAATGAATCACCTCAAAGAAATTGAATACAATTAGCTTTATGAAAAGCTTACTACATTGTCCCCTTTCCTGGCCATTTTACAAGTGGTGAAGTCTGTGTTTAGTGCTTAGAGTCTTGAAATTCCCAATTGATGATCAGATTAATATTAAGATTGATGTGAACATCTGATCAACTTCCGCTGCCCCTAAAATGTCTGAATTTAAAAGGGAATCCTCTAAGATAGTTCTTTCGTAAAGGTGAAATTACGATCACAGACAACCAAGAACTTCTGACAATTTGAAACATTCTATTCTTTCATACTGTGTTCATTTATTTCCTTTTAAAAATTAGATAGGGACACAAGACTTGCTCGGTGCGGCTCGGTGCAGGGCGCTGAGGTTTTGCTCCTTGCAACACTGGTTTCAAGACTCAGCCGCGCACCGGGTGGTCTAAGTTCCCTGCGCTTCATTCCATCCCTGACGTTGGCTGTTGGCAATCCAAGAATCAAGGGGAAGACCGGCTGATGGCATTCTGCCACGCTGGCCCCTCACATATGCTCTCACAAAGGCGTGCGGGCGCCTCTTAAGTTTTGTGTTTTTTTTCCCCCTTCCAAGGAGGGAGTAGCAGGATACCCCGTGGGAAGCTAAGGCCTACCGGTAAACAGGTAGAGTGTAAGGATTCGGGTGAAAAACTGTTGATTTGCCAGATCTTTCGTCTGCAACATTTGAAGGCAAAAACCTTGAGCTAACAGCGGTGAAAGAAAGTAACATTCCGTGGCTGGAGGTGGGGAGGAAAGGTCCGGGGAAACAGTGGTAACAGCAGCGAGCTGCACCGCCGCCGGGCGAACTTGGGCATGCTGGAGCATTTTTCCTGTTCGTGTCCCACGGCCATCTTTTCCAACAGGCGGTGAGTAAACGAGCAGCCCCTGTTGGCTGCGAGGGTGATAACAGCCCTTCGCAGTGAAGTTTTGGCGACGGTCCGGTAGGGGTCAGCGATGAGTCGGCTCCGAAACATCGAATATCCTGTTACCCCATCAGCTTGGACCCTAAAGGAGACGCAAAATAGGAGACAAACGTAAAATAGTGAGGCGAGGGAGCCAGTAATGGAGACCAGTTATATTTCATTTATTTTTAATGTGCATATCAGTAGACTCCCGAATACATAAAAACAGGGGGCCAACTTTTACCGTTTATTTAGGAGACGGGGGATTCTCTTCTAAATCCGCGAGAGGCAAAAGAGACGGGGTCTCGCTATGTTGCCCAGGCTGGAGTGCAGTGGCTATTCACAGGCGCGATCCCACTACTGATCAGCACGGGAGTTTTGACCTGCTCCGTTTCCGACCTGGGCCGGTTCACCCCTCCTTAGGCAACCTGGTGGTCCCCCGCTCCCGGGAGGTCACCATATTGATGCCGAACTTAGTGCGGACACCCGATCGGCATAGCGCACTACAGCCCAGAACTCCTGGGCTCAAGCGATCCTCCTGCCTCAGCCTCCCGAGTAGCTGGGACTACAGGCGCGCGCCACCGCGCCCGGCGTTCAGAACGTCTGCAAAGCAGATACTAGAGGCTGTGGTGTGATGACGTTACCTGGAGGCGGAGCAAAGGCGGGGCTGTGCTTGTCGCGAGAATGGGAACGCCCCGTGGGAGGTGGTCCGGAGGCTGAGACCGTGTGACGTCATCGGGGATGGGTTGCTGTCCTGCTTTACTGGGCTCTGAGCCGGTGAAGTCGCTTTCACTGTTCGGGCCTCGGCTCTGGGTGTTTTGCCCCGAACACTGTGTTCTTGTACTTAAACCAGGCTTTAGTACATACTGCAACTTTTGGGGGAAGTTACTTACGAGGGAACCATCTGTCCCTAAAAGTCTCATTGTCCACAGCAAGCAGGTGCCTTTGCTGTACAGCTGTACGAAGAAGTGTAACTTGTCGTAGCAAGCGGGTTGGGGGTCTGCAAAAATATCTGAGGCCAACTCAGTTTTCACTATTGAAATGAAGGAAGTTTGAGGGAGTGGTCTGCTTTCGTAGCCCCCGCATGTTCTTTAACGGTTATTGTAGGGGGAAAAAAATCTACTATATGGGTAAATGAGCGCAAGGATTAGGATTTGTCAGCCTGGAGTCGTTTTTGGAAGAAGTTTGGGTTAGGAAGGGGTAGGAGGAAGAAGGAAAAAAGGATTTCCGACCATAGTGGATCTGCAACCACCAGACCTTTCATCTGTCCCGTCACAATCTTTCCCATTCCTCTTTTCTCCTAGAAGATAGTCCCAACTTCCCCTCCACCTCCTCTGTTGCATCACAGAACTTCAATACCTCCCTCATAGATAAACCTAGGCCATCAGAAAAACTCTATCAAGTCCTGGTTACTCCCTCCTCTAAATTTGTGTTTACATTTTGAAGAAAGGGCAACTCTGTTGTGGCTTCCTATCTCAAATCCAGTAGGTAAAAATTTCTCAGTCATTTCCATACCCATCCTATCTCTCTCTTTCACTTGTTTAAAGAGATGCTGAGTTTTCTTTAATCTTAAGAATCCTCCTTTGACTTTGCCTCTTTTTCCAAATGAAATGTGTATTGTTTTCATGGCTGCACTTTTTGAAAGCTTGTTCTACGATAACTACATTCAGTTCCTGACATTCTGTCTTCAGCCCACAGCCCACTGACCCACTGAAACTATTCTACTAAGGCTCCCATGCCTATGCTCCTAAATGACAGATCTAGGAACCCTTTAAGACTTATGTGACATAGTTTATCACACACACACCCCCATCTGTATCATTTGTGACCACTACCTCCTCCCTGAAGTTTTCTTTTCCCTGGTTCTTGTTGATAGCCTCTGACAGGTCCTCCCAAGCTTTGCCAGTCTCTCCTCTGCCAACTCTATACACGATGCTGTTCCTTGTAGTTCCCCTCTAAACCTTTATTTTCTTGCCATACTTTTCATGCATGATTGCATCAATTCTCAAGGCTCTCAAATCTATAGCTCCAATCTGATGCTCTTTCCAGAGCTCCAGATCCATATTTTTAGCAACCTATTGGATATCATCCTGAAATCATTCAGAACTTCAAATTCAACTTGTGCAAGCAAACCTAACCATCTGCTGATTCCTACCTCTAAACTTGCCCACCCAATTTCCTATATTCTCACTCTTTACAAATATAATTATTTAATTGGTCATTTGAGAACTCTCTGTCATCCTTGACCACTGCTTCATTCATTTACCACCAGATATTTTTTTCTTGCTTATCCAATGACAGACTCTGTGCTAGATGATAAAAATGTGGTGGCAATGAAAAGAGACATTTGGGGGAGACAAAAACACAGCAGTATATATATGCTCTGTTAAGTGCCATTGCAGGAAACAAAGTGCTGAGAAAAAAACAATGACAGGAATGGGGAAGGGACATACCTAAGAGAAAGTAGTCAGGTAAACCTCCTTGAGAAGGTGTCATTTGAACTGGGGCCTGAAGAATGAGACATTACTTAGGGTACTTCAATTGCCAGCAATAGGGCTATGTGTAACTGAAGTAAAGGAACTCCTCTTAAGCAAGAACTCATTGGAAGGCATTGGGACAAATGTGGCAGAACGGTACTTGTCCCTGTCTGTTCTCACCTTTTCCTACAGTAATAAATTTTTAGTTGGGCAGATGAAGCCCCACTTAGAGACAGATGTGATTTGATGTGGGGTCCAAGAGCAAATGGTAAGAATTTTTGAAACATTTTCGGTGCAAAAATGGTGGTTTTATTAAAGCACGAGGGACAGGACCCATGGGCAGAAAGGGTTGCCCTGGGATTGTAAGGCGTGATTGGTTATATAATTTTAAGTTGAGGGGGTGGGGTAGAGACAAAAGGAAGTTTCCAAAAGGATTTTCATATGTTAAAGAAGACTTACAGGATCCTGGAGGCCTAACTCTTGTCAAGCTAAGGTTGCTTTTTGCCACTAGCAAAGCATTAACATGAAGATGCTTGGGAGTTCCTGGAGGAATGTCATACTCTGCCTGTCTGAAGTATTTGTCAATGGGCTGTAAGTTGTAAGGAAATTTAATTTTATCTACATTTCCTTTTGCCTTGTTCTCCAAGTCAGAGACCACATTTCCCAGTTTCTCTTACAACCAAGTGTGTCCAAGTTCTCACCAACGGAATATGAGTGAAAGTGATAGGTGCAACCTCTGCATCACTTGCTTAAAAATAAATCCTTTGTCCTCTACTTCTGCTCTTTTGCCCTTCCCCAGAGCTAGATGGCGCCAAGGCAAACCCACAGCAGTGCCCCAGCTCTAACTATGCAAATGAAGAAAATATCCTAGGCTATAGCAGAGCATCAAAAGGAAAGAAACCAGAGTCTGTTATTGACTTAATGGAGCTGAGCCACCCTGCCAGCCTGGGCCACTCCTACCTCTGGACTGTTACAAGAGAAATAAGCTTCTATCTCATTTAAATTACTGTACTTGGCTGGAGGGGGGGAGTCTTTTTTTATTGTAGCATACTCAGTACTCTAATCTACACAGGAAAGCTCACAGAGGAAAACCCTGACTAACCAGATCTCAGAAAGGGCAGGAACCAAACGAGCTACAGGCATCACCCCAATTGGATGAATCAGATTCAACCTCCTGTAAGAAGTCTGATTTTCTAGTTTGAGTCCTGTGTCCTCCTTCAATCTCCATATTCATATCCATTTTTATCATAATTATGTTGTAAATAAAACTTTTATGTTCTGTTTTTCTCATTTGTCACTATACTTTTAGTGGTAGTATAAGCCTCTCAATTTGATGCATAACTTAGGATGATTTAAAGTCAACTACTGTCAATTACATTAACCAGCTCTTCATCATTCTACACATTTTACCTGCATTGTCTTATGAATTAGTGATATGCACAATATCCAGGGCTAAGTCAGTTAACAAGCTTGAATCAGTGTTTGCTTTTTTTTTTTTTTAGGTTCTGTGACTTTTCCTTCCAGCTTTATTGAGGTATAATTTACAAATAAAATTGTAAGCTATTTAAAGTGTACAGCATGGTGATTTGATATACGTATACATTGTAAAAGGATTCCTTCCATCCATCATCTCACATATTTACTTTTTTCCCTCTTCGGTAGGAACACTGAAGTTCTACTCTTTTAGTAAATTTCAATTGTACAATACAGTGTTTATCAACTATAGCCATCATATTATACATTAGATCCTCAGACATTTTTCATCTTATAACTGAAAGTTTGTACCCTTTTACCAACCTCTCCCTATTTCCTCCATGCCCCCAGCCCCTGCCAACCACTTTTCTACTGTTTTTATGAGTTTGACAATTTTTTTAAAAAGATCCAACATATAAGTGATACCATGAAGTATTTTTTTGTCTAGCTTAATTCACTTAGCATATGCCCTCCAGTTTCATCTATGTCACAAAGATTTCCTTCTTTTTAAAGGCTGAATAATATTCCATCATATTCTACCCATCCATCCATATATATATTTTTTTCTTTATTCAACTGTTGATAGATACTTAGGTTGTTTCCATACCTTCACTATTGCAAATAATGCTGCAATGAACATGGAAGTACAAGTATCTCTTCCAGATAATGGTCTCGTTTCCTTTGGATATACACCCAGAAGTGGGATTGCTGGATCACATGGTAGTTCTATTTTGAATTTCTTGAGCAACCTCCATACTGTTTTCCATAATGGCTGAGCCAGTTTACATTCTCACCAACAGTGCACCCTTTTCTCCACATTATGGGCACCATTAATTATCTAGGTGTTTTTTTTAACCTGAGTGCATTTTTAAAAAAGTTTATTTTTCTTTATTTAAGTAATCCCTAAACCCAAAATGGGGCTCCAGTTCACCACTCTGAGATCCAGTCTATGATTTTCCAACTGAGCCAGTCAGGCTCCCTTAGATTGTTTAGTTTTTAATAGTTCAATAAACTAGGTCACGTCTGGCTACATGAGGTTTTGCTTCTTCAAAACGTAACCTGAATGGCAGTTAATTTTGAGGCGCTCAAACATTAAAATAGATAATGCACTCATCCTAAATGGTTATGTCTCAAATCTGTCTGAAAAAATCCATTCCATGGAGCTCAAGACCTTTATACATTAGTCCTGGAACGTTAAACGAAGGAGAGCATGGGGTCAGACGAAGAGGCTTTCTGCCCAGGTCGGAGAGAAAAGTCTTTAGGGCAAACTGGGTTCTAGCTTACGTCCTCAGCAGCCATCAGGCAAGAGCACCGGACAAGCCTGAGGCTGACCGGGGCGCAGAGGCCCCAACTGCTAGCCCCAGAGAGAACACCCGAGGAGGAGGCTCTAGTGCCTGCTGGGGACTGCTGCCTGCCAGGACCGCCAGTCCATTCCGCGGCCGGGGAACGGAAGAGGAACCTGGGCGGGGAGAGGCGGGACCTCGGAGAGTGAAGGTGGGCCACCAGGGGAGGGAGAGGCGGGGCCACGCCCGGAAAGGCGGGGCCTCCAGTCGGGAGAGAGGGGCTAGACGGGCAGGGGAGGAAAGGTGCGCCTCAGGGCGAGGCACCTGAGGCGAGGCACCTGGGGACGCCGAGGGGCGGAGAAGGAGGCGAGAGGCGGGGTCACTCTCGGAATGACGGGTCACTCAGGGCCTCTAGAAGACCGAGAGGCAGGGCCCGCAAGGGGAAAGGAGGAGGGCCGCTAGGGGGCGAGGCAGACAAAGTACTCACCATGACCTCGGTCCCGGATTTCGCCGTCCAGTACTGGGCTGCATCCTCCCACGAAGGCCCCCCTGTCCCCGCGCTTTGACACACATACAGCCCGTTCGCCGCCGCTCACCGCAGGGGGATCACTTGTTGCTGCCAGCAGGATTTTCATCACGCTACGTTATTTGCATTTCAGAGACATGCCTCCGTGGGCTGACCCTGATTCTATTACATTTGGTAATCGAACAATTCATTAACGAGAATTAGCACACTGACATAGTAAACGTTTACTTCTTGGCCACACTCTACATGGAGGAAGAGCCTTTAATATGGTTAATACACAATATCTCACCCATCCAGAAACTCATTTCTTGTGGCAGGTTTTACAAAAATATCAGAATTACTTACCCAGTGTCACACAGCTGGGCCTATAAATAGAAATTAAATTTGGGGGGCTATTTTCTTTAATTTGAATACGGTTTGACTTTCATCCGACAGTTCTGCGGGAATATTTTTAACGTTTTAAAATTTAGTAGAACTCCAACAGAGCATGGCTATTTATTACCTTGATTCTGATCTGATGTGGAATAAAACACATCCCCAAACCAAAACTTCATACATCAAAATCCTGATATTTAACACTTTATCGCAAATATTGATTCTGTCTCTTTACACCAGTGTGGCAAAAGCTTTTTGCTGTATTTAACTTATTCCTCTTGAAAGTATTATTAGGAATGTTTCACTTTCTTCAGATAATGTTTAGAAGAGTGCTTCCTTTGGGGACCCTGTAGACTTAAGCTAATGTCACCTCAGACCAGAATAGTTTGCAAATTGATTTACTTTTTTGTAACTTTCTATTCTCAAGGCTAATTATTTGCCCAGGTTAATATATTGAAACAGCCTGGCTTTTGGTAGCAAAACAAATACTTTAAATTGCATACAGCTTTCCCTGACTAAGGTGAGAGAGGATCAAGATAACATTCTTTGCTTAAATCACTCTCTTCCAGCAAATAGTTATTGAGCACCTGCTATGTGCTAGGTGTCCTGAAGTGTTAACCATTAGTTAATATTGTGGATAAAGGTTAGTTTTGAGAATAAAAGTGTAAACAGGGAAACAATGAATCTGCTTGACATGAAACAAATAGTCTAATAGATGTGTTTGTGTTTATTCACCTTGGACCCTGAGGAAAGGGCATAATTTCTGAGAGGAAGGACTGGAAAAGTGTCTAATCTCGCATGACTGCTGGCCCCAAGTATGACTAATATAAAAGTTCTATGGTTTTCCTATGTGGAGGTGGTGAGGAGGGTTATATCTTCCCCTAGACCTTCTCCCCTTATCATGAATGGGTGGAAGAACATTGAGGCCTTCTAAGGTTCAAATGGCAAACTACTTTCACTTTTATTTTGGAGGGGGAGATTTTAAGCTTTTCTCTGTGTGGTTTAGACAACTTTTTAATATGACTTACTGAGATTTTATGATGTAATGGTTGAATATATAGCACCAGGCATGTCTGCTAAGGAATACTTAATAAATACATTGTTATCACAATTCACATCACTGATACTTAAAGATATATTGTGTTACACTCTGGTTTCTGTATATGATGATTTACAATCAAAGTGGTTCATGGTTTCCTCTGGGGCTGCTTTTAGGGCTAATGTAGACTGAAAGTAACTCTGTTTTTACAGAGAATACTGAAGGCACAGGCGGCCTGTGCCTGTTCAAATGAACCCTGTCACTGTACAATGACCGAGCTGTAATTCATTTTATGGCATAGGTCATTTCCCAAAAAGGGCCTGGCCTGGCATGTGGCAAGAAATAAAAAAAAGACAAAACTATTACACATTAGTTGCAATATTCTCTTAATGGAAACAATCTATAGTCACCATGATGTATGGATAAACTATATTGCAGATTACTAAAAGGGTATTTTGTATAATCAAGGGAAATACATACAAACACTGAGGTATGATTTATCATTACCAAAACTAATATTAATGCTCCTATGCATTAACATAATCAAATATATACTAGAAGAGTGATTTACCCTCTTATGATAAATTCTATTAAAATAGTAAGTCCCAGGGACCCCCTGGGTGGCTCAGTTGGTTGTGTCTGCCTTCGGCTCAGGTAATGAACCCAGGGTCCTGGGATCGAGGCCTGCATTGAGCTCCCTGCTCAGTGTGGATTCTACTTCTTCCCCCTCCCCCCACTAGTGCTTGCTCCCCCTCTCTCCTCTCTCTCTCTCAAATAAATAAAATGTTTAATAAAAAAATAAAAATAGGGCTCCCTGCTCAGCGGGGAGTCTGCTTCTCCCTCTCCCTCTGCCCCTCCCCCTGCTTGTGCTCTCTCTCTTGTTCTCTCTCTCTCTCTCAGATAAATAAAATCTTTAATATTTAAAAAATAAAATAAAATAGTAAGTCCCTTTGTGCATTCATTCATTCATGAACTCTACCCAATAATTCTACAGCATTAAGGAAATGAAATCAAAACCACAATGAGATACCAGTTCATACCTACTAGGAATTGCTATAAAAAAAACCCAACCAAACAAAAACAGATAATAAGTGTTGGCAAGAATGTGGGGGAAATTGGAACTGTTGTACCTTGGTGGTGGGAATATAAAATGGTCCGGCTGCTGTAAAAAACAGGTTGGCAATTCCTCAAAAAGTTAAACATACAACTACTATATGGTCCAACAATTCCACTCCTAGGCAAATGCACAAAAGAATAAAAAACTGGGACTCTGTTACTTATATACCAATGTTTGTCACAGCATTATTCACAATAGCCACAAGGTGGAAACAACCCAGGTGTCCATCAACATTAGAATGGGTGGAGAAAATACGTTATGGAATATTATTGAGCCATAAAAAGGAATGAACATCTGATACAGGCTACACCACAAATGAGCCTTAAAAACATTATGCTAGGGGCACCTGGGTGGCTCAGTTGGTTAAGCATCTGCCTTTGGTTCAGGTCATGATCTCTGAGTCCTGGGATCAAGCCCCACATCAGGCTCCCTGCTCAGGGGTGAGTCTTCTTCTCCTTTTCCCTCAGCCCCTCCCCCTGCTTGTGTGCGCACACTCTCTCTCTTAAATAAAACAATAAATAAATAAATAAATAAATAAATAAATAAATAAATAAAATCTTTAAAAAGAACAGAAAAACCCATTTTGCTAAGTGAAATGAACCAGACACAAAAGGACAAATATTGTATGACTCCTCCTATATGAAATATCTAGAAAAAGCAAAAACATAGACAGCGACTTGAGGAAGTTGATTCCTGTTTTTTTAGAGCATTAACCATAAATAGGTGCTGAATTTTGTCAACTCCCTTTCTGCTGGCTAATTTTTCAAATATTAAGATGGCCTTGCATCTCTGAAATAAACTCCACCTGGTCATGGTGTGTGGTGCATGATTGGTGAATGATTAAAATATATATATATAGTTGAATTTTATGTACCATTTTTAAAAAATTTTTGCATCTTTATAAATGAGGACTATTAGTCTGCAGCCTTCTTTGTCTCTATTTGTACTGTATTATTTGGTTTTCATATCAGGGTGATTCTACTTTTATGAAATAAATTGGGAAGTGTTCCTTCCTCTTCTATTTACTAAAATTCTTTAAATGTTTGGTAGCATTCTCTAGTGAAATCAATCTGAGCCACTGGATTTCTTTTGTAGTTTCAAAATTACACATTCAATTTCCTTAATAATTATAAGGCTACTAAAATTATCTATTTCATATTGAATGAGTTGAGGTAGTTTGTGTTTTTAAGAATTGGTCTTTCACTTAAGTTGTCAAATGTATATGTGTAAAGTTGTTTGTAGCATCCCATTATTATCATTTTGTTACCTGCAGGGTCTATAGTAATATCTCATGTTTCAAATTTCTGATATTGGTAATTTGTGTCTTCTTTTTTTGTTACTTTTGCTAGAGGTTGTCACTTTTTTTTTTTTTAAGCAGGCTCCACTCTGGGCTTGAACTCATGACCCTGAGACCAAAACCTGAGCTGAGATCAAGAGTCAGATACTTAACCAACTGAGCTACCCAGGTGCCCCAAGGTTGTCACTTTAATTGATCTTTCCAATGAACCAGCTTCCTTGTTTCATTGATCTTCTCTGTTGTTTTTCTGTCCTCAGTTTTATTAATTTCTGCTCTTTAAAATTTCCTCCTTTTGTTGCTTTGGATTATTTTGTTCTTTTTTGAGCTTTTTGAGATGGTAACTTGGATTATTGATTTATGACTTTCCCTCTTATTCTAAGGTGTGCTTTTTAGTGTTATAAATTTCCTCAGCACTGTATTAGCTGGTCCCCCAAATTCTGATACATTGCTTTTTCATTTCCATTCATTTTAATGTATTTTTCTTTCCCTTGAGACTTACTCTTTGACCATAGATTACTTGGTAGTGTGTTATTTAGTTTCCAAGCGTGTAGAGATTTTCCTGTTACCTTTTTGTTATAAATTTCCAGTTTGATTCCATTGTAGTTGGAGAACATACTGAGTATGATTTCCTTCTTTAAAAGCTGCTGAGATTTGGGATGCCTGGCTGGCTGAGTTGGAAGAGCATGTGACTCTTGATCTCAGGGCCATGAGTTCGAGTCCCACATGGGGTGTAGAGATTACTAAAATAAATTTAAAAAAAACTTTAAAACTTTTGCTACATTTGTTTCATGGTCCAGGATATGATCTATTTTAGTGTATGCTCCGTGGGGACTTGGTAAGATATGTGTATTCTGTATTGTTAGGTGAAATATTCTATAAATGTTGGTTGATGCCACTGTTGAGTTTTTCTATGTTCTTGCTGATTTTCTGTCTAGTTTGTTCTATAAATTGTTAAAACAGAGGTATTGAAATCTCCAACTATAATTGTAGGTTTAGATATTTCCCCTTTCATTTCTATCAGTTTTTGCTTCACATATTTATGTTCCTTGGTTATTCAGTTTATATTATAATTGTCTTTAATACATTCCTTCTATATACATTTAGAACCACATCAGACAGTATTATAAATTTTTGATTCAATCATCAAATGTAATTTAGAAAACTGAAGAAGGAAAATCTATTGCACTTATTTATATTTTTGCTTAACGATGTTCTTTC